CTTCACTCAAACCAAGATCAATGCACGAATCTAATCGGCGAAACATTTTTTTGTTCCAGAAACGAAAGCAGAACGTGGCTACCTTGATCGGCGAGTCGGTGAGTCAAACAAGTTAAAAAATTGGTAATAGAAAGACAAAAAGTTTTTTTACGTAATGCATGTTTATAAATCAATGCGATTTATTTTGCTGTGGTGTAGTGTGTGTATGTGCAGTCTAATAAAGCATACTGTTCAAAACAATTGAAAGATCGCTTTCACAAATAATAATATTAGTGATTATGCATTTTTATAAATTTGGCAAATTTTGAAGTATTTTTCCTCTAATGTATATATATTTATTAATTGTTTGACTTACTTAAATTAATAATTGGTCAATGACTTTTGTTGAAGAAAATTTTGATTGATTAAACACTAACTGGCAAATGCCATTGAAATATGGAGTATACGCTCTGAATTTAAAATTTTGTAATATTATTCAGTTTTATTGAATGCGATCTTCCAGGTGTCTTGATCAATGCGCCAACGCGCAGAAATTGCGCCACAGAGATTACGCTACAGAAAATGCGCAATCACATCACCCGCCTCGATAGATCTTCCGTCGATCGTTAATTTTCTCAGTTTTTTCTGTCGTGATTGCATTCGTAAAGTACAGAGGTCGTTATTAAATAAAATTCGATATCGTGCGGCGTCTGTGCGAAGCGATCTAACGTGATTACTTAAGCTGCTCGCGAAATTAATTTCACGATCGTCGGAAAATTTTCAGGTTTCAATTTTTTACTTAGAGTTTCCTAACGCGAGACACAGTAGAGACAATGCTAGCGAGCGTTGATCTCTCGCGAAAAACACGACGTACACAAGTCAGATATGCAAGCAGTTGTTTACTTACGCGGCGCGCAACAAGTTCCATCGAACGAAAACAGACGTCTCACGCGGTAACATTTTTTTCATGTAAATTTTGAATAGAATATTTATCTCTATTGTCACAATTTTCATAGTTTTTTATTTTTCATTCACGTTCGCGTTTGCGATTATTAATTTGAAAGGTTTGCGAATTTCACCGGATTGTATTTGCGGAAGATTCGCGAGCAAACTTCGCAGAAATATTGCGGAGTTATTATCCGCAAAAGCATTACGGAATTGTCTTCGCAAAAGTATTGCGGAATTGTCTTCGCAAAAGTATTGTGAAGCTGCTATCCGCAAAAGTATTGCGGAGCTGCTATCCGCAAAAATATTGCGGAATTGTCTTCGCAAAAGTATTGCGGAGCTGCTATCCGCAAAAATATTGCGGAA